TTTTGTGTTGCCTAATTTAGGTATCAATAAAAATAATACTTCAAGGTATCGAAAAAAGTGATACTCCAAAGTTTTCGATATAGTGATATCCCAAAGTTTTCGATATAATGATATTTTGAAATATATAAAAAGTACGATTTAGGTATCAGTATAAGCCAGCTAAATACTGAAAAAAGATGATATCCCAAGGTATAATTATTATAGAAAGATATATAATATATATAATTATGCTTTGGGGTATCAACAGATATGTTAACAATTCGGCACTACGTGCCTCATCATCGAATGCTTTGGTGTTATTATCAGATATGTTAACAATTCAGCACTACGTGCCTCATCATCGGATGCTTTGATGTTATTACCAGATATGTTAACAATTCGGCATTACATGCCTCATCCTTGATCGATACTCGAGTGCATTATAATAGCTAACAATTCGGCACTACGTCGGGTGATATTCGAATGAATCATAATAGCTTCTTTAACTAAAGGTTTATCTGATAGTTTAAAATAAGCTTTTCCTTCTTGTATCCCGATTACAAACCTAATCTAAGAATTTTTAATCAATTATCCCCTTATTGGATAACAGGTTTCGTAACTGCAGAAGTTAGCAATTCGGCACTACGTGCCTCATCATCGGATGCTTTGATGTATTACCAGTTATGATAACAATTCGGCACTACGTGCCTCATCCTCGATTGATATTTGAGTGTATTATACAAAGCTAGGATATGAATACTATTTCGGCACTACGTGCCTCAAACCTGGCCCTCATAGAAGAATTAACCAGAAAGCTAAGGGCACTATGTGCCCAGTTCGGGCATAGCCCTCACATCGGGCCCACAAATGACGACATATGACTGAATACATCGTCAGATATATATTTTTTTTGCCCATGTGACCCAGCGACGGAAATCGGCCACGATCACCAAACCGGCAAATGATACGTCGCATGTAGAAGTGATGACTAAATCATTATTCAGATATATATCACAATGGTTCTCGAATGACGATACACATATGATCTGTATATCACCTGAATCATTGAAAGGAAGTAAATATTAAGCTTATTAGAGGTCAAAATGGGCAGCTATAAAATAAGTAGGCAACAGTATACCTATAAGTAGGTAACAGTATAACGTAAGTAGACAGCAGTATAGATATACTGCTGTCTACTTATGTGTTTATTTATTCGATTCAATTCATCAAGTTAACCAACTCAATACAATTTATTATTATTGAACGGATTATAACTTAAATAAATGCCACACCAAGTAGCAGGAAATCTAATTAGTACGCTTGATTTCGTCGTCACAATTTAAAAATATGTAGCATCCCGATGTTAATGTAACGGACACTCAAAATTGCGCCCCTATTGTCACAACAAAAGTAAGTTCGTGGCAAGGTCCAAAAAATACGCCCTATCTCTTATAAAAATTCTGGCTAGATTCCCTCGTTATATCGTGTTGGATTGTTCAAATGCTGTAATGTTATTACATTCAGTTGTAATAACCTTAACGTTAATGTTAGGAAACCGTTAAAAAAGTCCGTCGCGAAAAAGAAAGATTATCAGCGTTTATCATCAGTATTATTGTTCACGCGTTATTAAAAAATGTGGCAGAACGGGTAAACGTACATAAGGTGACGGAAGGAAACTATTACAGGGGTCAGTGCATACCTCATAACAATAGAAAGTCCTTCGCTAGGCTCCGGACACATAATATTTTATATTAATAAAATACTACGAATGCGCAGTGAAATTAATTAATTTATCGTCTGCAATTAATGGACACATTTACTAGAACGCGTCGAAATTTATTAACCTAGTTGTTGTTCTAATAATAGTTCTATTCTTGTGCGTTGTTGTTGCTGAACGGAAGTGTCTATTGCTTACGAGGTGAGGCTAATTGAACCGGACAAGCCAGCTTACGAAGTTAGGAGTATCAGACCAGACGGGAAAGAATAGTGCGACTATCGGTGCTTATTTATTAAATAGTTTAGCACAACACTTGAGTGAGAGTCAATAGAAAATATAAAGAGCCGCCTGCAAATTTTAGCTATGCTTTAATTGACACGGGACGCGTAAGCAAAGTTAGAGGTCAAGTTTGTAACATAAACGCTCCTAAGTGAATTATTTCTAAGCCGTCAAAATAGTTAATAATATAACCGAAATAATAGCAAGCCAAAATAGATAATAAAACTAATTTAAGTTATCATTGAACGAGAACGTTAGTCAGACTATCCACTTATCGTGCTATTCATAGATATGTATATAAATAAGAAAGTTTCACGCGGTGCCTTAAGATAGATATCGATAGTTGTGTTTCCGCCGTTTAAAATAAGTAACCATGCGATGGTTGTCATCTACACTATTTATACTCTTTAACTGAGACCGTGAATCAATAACTGTTTGTTGCCGAAACTCTGATTCCATTTCAATAGATCATTAACATCTTTCAGCCAGTCGATTCCCGTATTTGTACGGCTAACAGTCGGAACCGGGTATGGCGACATTTGGACCTTTTTTTTTTTTTTTTTTTGGCGCGAAAGTAGGGCAAGTGAATTAGCACTTGTCTTGCTATAAGAGATCTATACCTTAAGCAGTGATTAATAATGTAGTAAGGACATTACCTCCAGGTATTCTCCTTTTGTTAAGTTACAGACTTCTCGACCATCAACCGTCATTTCCGTACTGCCTCTGCTAGAATCACCTATCTAGTTAAAGATCATATTTAAAGTCAATTGCCGTAAACGCGATTGATAGCCCCCATATTCAAAATCAGCTTCAGACACAAACTTATTTCCATGCTTACACGAAGTTGGATAACAGCATTGGGTGGAAGAATGACGGGTCTAAATGATAACGATCTGGGGCAAATCGGTGTCAATAACAAGGATTGTACCGAAGGATGAATAATTGGGCCGCCTGGAATAGAGGATTTGCATTTTGTAAGTTGTATTAATCCATATCGACGAACGCGATATTATTACCGTACCTGCAGAAAGCGAATATGCAGTCGATCCAGTTGGAGTGGCCACGATCAAGCCATCCGCCTAATGTAAGATGGTAATAATAATGACGTACAGGAGGATATAAATTTTAGGTACGTGTCTCTAGTTTATAAAAAAAAACAATCGCGTACATGAACTGACCACAGCATCAGTCCAACACTGCCCATTTACGAAACAATCGATAGCTGTAAGATGCGGGTGTCGTCCTCTATGAAGATTTACTTCATTCATCACTTGAAAATCCGCTGCAAAAAAAAAGGTGTCAGGTTTTATGAATACAATACAATGTATTAATATGGATATAGACTCGTTAGAATGTCTTACGTATGTTTTCCCCGTTTCTTTGTAGTCTCTTTCCATCTTTATCCCACAACGAACATAATAATCGCATTCGAAGTGCCAATGAGACTTCGCCTCGCATTATTTCCTCAAGCATTCTCTTATATTGATGAAATTCTGTTGAGAAAAATAAAATGGCGGTATTAGTCCGCGTCTCTATAAAACATATGTTTTGCCTGGGACGCGCGCGCTGTTTGTTAAAAGATTAATTATCCACGTAAAAATTTTTCTTTTAGAATTCATGCTTACGAAATGGCATCAAAAACCCAAGCGTTCCCATGGAAAATGAAACCACGGGTGGAACAGCCGAATCAAACAAAGAAGATACATGAAGCATGGTTCCGTCTCCTCCTAAACTAATTACAAAATCGACTATTCTGGTATACTCTGCTTCCTGGTCTTTTGAATAATTAAATGATTAGAACATGAAGTAAGAGAAAAAGCAATTCGAATAAAAATTGTACACCTTACGTGAATCAGGCGGGACGACTTTTACAAATGGGAGCTCGTTCTCTAACTCTTCTACCACATCTTTTTCAACGACAATGTTAACGTACGGGAAGTTCTCGTGAAGCCATCTACAGAAATCGAATACCTCAACTCTAATTAGGAAACTGTGAGAGCTTTTGAATCGCATCGATTGGTCCCGACATACGTTGCAATCTCGATCAAAGCGGAATGTGTTATTCTGCTAAACTGTTTCCGAACAATCAAGACAGTCCTTGGTGGTAATATCCAGTTTAACTTGTAATTTCCCCTGAAATTGTTAGGATGTTGTTCTTTATATTCAATCAGACTGACGAAAGGATTGAGCAGTCGTTTGCATTATGACTAACCCATAAGTGGATCCAACATCCTGTTTAATCTCTAGCGTGGGTTCATGAGTCGGTTTGATATCTACCTCGTCTACGAGTCAATTACATTTAGTAATCAGATTAATTATATGGTACATAATCACTTTAATGACTATTTACTTCAACTCACCTGACCTTTGGTTTCCATCTGTTTCATGATAATTTTAACCTTGTCCGGTAAATCTTTTGTGTCCGAATACGATGATAATCTTCGAACTGCATTCAGTATATTCAGCATGCGGTTAGACCGTACTCTTGTGCGGGAGAACACGGGTTGAAATACCCTTGCATTGAGGGATAACATTTTTGTAAATATCACTGATTGCGTGAGTGATGGATTTAATCAACGTGTTATTGTCATGTGATTTAGAACATATACAGTATTAGAATAGTATATCAACGAGATCCGGCATTTCAAGACAAGAGTCAGGTCGCAATTGACGCCATTAACAATTGTATAGGAAGATCCTATTGTCGATTTTTTATTGAAGTATGAATAGTGCTCAATTTATACAAGTTTTAATTGATATGAATATATAAAATAGTACGACAGAATATCTGAATATGAACTATTCCTAACGTCAAGTGTATGAAGATTGTTTTTCATTCTACAAACAAATGAGATGCTGACCTAATACTATGACAAAATCCTCGCCAAGTTTATGATTATTACGAATATAATAAATATATACTTGTGTCAAGATGCTTATTATTCGGTATTTTGTTGTTCCAAACAATTGCTGTCAAACGACGTCCTTGATCGTTTCTCCGAATGACCATCTGCCCTTTTCACTTTCATTCCTCTTTGGTCTCTTTCTTATCTTTATTCAATTCGGGCAACCCAAATTGCCATATTGCATATCCTACTAATGCACTTATAAACAAAAACCAAAAGATTTTTACAGATGTTGGAGCGGGGTTGGGAAACTCTCCTTGTGCAAACTTTAGACAAATTACACTCTCGGTCATTATCGTTGCTATTATTAGCCATGCTTGCGGTCCAAAACGCTTACAATTTCTAGATAAATAGGATAAAGGCGAGATCGCTTAGTAGATGCATTAGACAAATCAATAGGTGGGATTACATATCAACTTACTTGTCAGTAAGGTATTGGTATGCTTCCCTCGTAGCAGGAAAACAGCAGAAGCATAGCAGTGTTGCTCGGTATGAATTAAGTGGATGGGTTGATGGAATCCACAGTAAATACTTGAGGTAGAATGCATTCAATTCGCCTTGTAAATACTAAACAGAAAAAGTCATTAGAATTATACATAATCTTTGCATAAGATTTAAAATAATGCCTCAAATGTATACCAATATACCAAAAACAATAGTCCGATAACTGCCATATAGTTCTTGAAGTTTTTAGTCGTGCCCCATTCGAATTTAGTCCAACTATGTGGCGTAAATTGCCAGACAGTTCTTTTCACCATTCCTCTGATCGTTGGGATCTCTTTAATACCACGCCATGAATAATGTTTCATCTCAAAATATTCACAAGTCTTCATTCCCAGGTAAAGCCCAAGCCAGTTACATAAAATAACATCAAGAATCCACTAAAAAACGAGAATAACTAGTGAGATGACGATTTTCCCCAAAAATGCCATATCATGACTGCTCTACGTGTTTTGTCATGTTTTTGACGTGCACTCACATGATCCCACCAGCATTCAGCAAAGTTGGGCAATTGATGCTGCAGCGAATATTCCATAATCTCAAACATCACCGATAGGACCCAGCAAAACCAATAATCACGGATAACTACAGCCTTTGCATACCAACCTATTGAATGGTATATGACAAAGACATCAATTTGATCCTTTAACGAGAGTTTACGGTATATTATTACGTTGAATGCGTTTTCGTTCTTATGAGGAGCGATCGAGATGGACGGTACTTACTTTTACATTTTGATACGTCAATTCGCAACTTTCAGCGTACGATCTTTCCGGGAGTGGTACTCCTAGGTTGGGATCAATCAACGAAATGGAATACCGCGCATCTTTTTTACTCTGTACGTGTTATGATATATCGACAGACGTTACCATGACTAGCTATTGTAAATAAATCACGTGTGTTTTACATATAATGTCGATGTTTACCTGAAATAAGAGAAATACCAGAAAGGTCTGGTACAGCACTCCGAGCCCCATTACAATACGCCAAAACGCCGGATGTGGTCTAATAAATGGACCGTCTCTAAACTGCAACATGGCAAAGAGGAGAAAGAAGCAAATACTTGCTGAGAAACCTCTGTTGAAAATAAATTGAAGAACATGTAAACATAGGTTTGGGAGCGAGCTTTTCGACATGCGTTATTATTGCGGACGCTTACTTTTTGAAGTTTGCCGAAGTATCTTCTTCAGTGTCAGGATTCATTGCTACGTAAACCAATGCTATTAACATTGCCGCTAGCACACTAAGTGTGCGAGGACGATCTATAGTAAAAGCAGCGATAATGAGACATTAAGCGAATTTCACGCTAGTAAACCTTGAAAGTATTTGCAATTACCCAAAACCCATTCATTTCAACGTACAGAAAAACTCGGTAGCTGGATCATTCTCAGCGTACGAAGATTGTTGGACTTGTAATGACCTGGCATTCAGAGGATCTTTAATATTGACAAGTTGCGAAATCTCCGCGGACATTTTCTCGGAGATAATGGTTTCTGTTTGGGTTCGAAATACTGTAAAACTGCGACAAAAGTCATCATCGTGGCACGTGTGTGGCTGATCGGACCAATTATTGGTTTAACGGTATTTTCTACGCATGAACGGTATTCTTGGGTGTGTTCAAGGTTTTTACAAAAGATAATAAAGTTGGAATCAAAGATTTAACTTGTATTGAATTCATTAATATTAAGAGTGACTCTAACTAGATCATAGTCAATCACGAGAGATGATTAATGTATTCAATGAACCTCTAATAATTGTTTTACAGATTGATTGATTGTGCAGCACAAAAAACAATTGCAAAGTATTCTTCCATTAGCGCATATTCCTCATACACGTTACTTAACCCAGCATGTCTTCAACACTTCTGTACAGAGGACTTAATACAAACACTATAAATGTTACAAACGTGAATGTGAGAAGCGAGGTAAACTTTATTATCCTTGTACTATTTCCATATTCGTCATGGAGGGATAATGGTACTGGTGTTACTCAATGATGTTTAGATACCTAATTAGGAACCGTCGGACTAAATTCTAGTTCACAGATTAGAAGGGCTTCTTTTTATTATTCTCGCTTATTTTATTACGCATTTATATAACCGCTTTTAATATTAAGACTTACACAGAGTGAACGCATTGATTATGAATCACGTTAATTATTGCCGGAAGTTTATTACCTGTCGGTAGTTATTATTATAGTTAGGTCAGTAAAATTGTTTAGTGTAACATTCTATTCCTATTTCTATACGACTTTTCGCAAAAAGCGGTTCTCCTTAATTTGCCCCCTAATCACGCACTACTAAAAATGACTTCAATTTCTTCGATTCTTCATTCTGGATATCACCACCCGACTAGCAGACAATGGCAATCAGGGAATGTGCTTAGGAAGGTTTCGTTGATGTATCCAATTTTCATTACTGATGATCCCAATGCTGCGGATGAGATTAAGTCACTTCCCGGGCAGAAAAGGTAATAACTGACAGCCAATCAGTTTCCTGAAGATTAATGATTCTATCAATTTACAACGATTTTTGTTGAAAAAAAATAAATCATTAATTATTTCGTGGCTGAACCACAATGTTGTATTAAACACAATAACAGATGGGGAATAAACAAGTTGCAGGGGTTCCTTAAACCATTGGTCGAGAAAGGCTTAAGTTCGGTCATCTTATTTGGCGTGCCATTGAAGGTTGAGAGGGTGAATATACAATCATACCTATCGTGTGAAAATGAATATGCTTTGAATGACAGTGTTTCACGTTATTTTATGCAAATTCTGTGACCATAAGGACTCAACCGGCACTTTAGCAGACGATCCAAACGGACCAGTCATACAAGGAGTGAAACTCATTCGAAAAGAATTTCCTGATTTATTTGTAGCTTGCGATGTGTGTCTCTGTGAATACACGGATCATGGGCATTGTGGTTAGTAATCTGGAGCCATGGCTACAGATTGTTATTGGCTGTAAAATCGTTTATACATATCGTCCATCTAAATTAAAAAAAAAAAAAAAAAGGACATTTAAACGAGGATGGAACCATCAACAATACAGCAAGTATTGCTCGAATCGCTGAGGTTGCCGTTGCGTATGCCAAAGCCGGAGCACATTGTGTTGCTCCCTCCGATATGATGGACGGAAGAATTAAAGCTATCAAAGAGCGTTTGATTGAGGCAGGAATCAGTCATAGGGTTTGTTTAATGAGTTATAGCGCTAAATTTGCAACCACGTGCTTTTATGGACCGTTTAGGTAATTGAGAGTAGCAGCAATACTCGCTTTCTTTTTGGGTTGTATAATGACGGTTGGTGACTATATTTGATAGGGATGCTGCTCAGTCTGCTCCTACGTTTGGAGACAGAAAATGCTATCAGCTGCCGCCAAATGCAAGTGGATTAGCGCGTCGTGCTATCGTGAGTGGTCCAATTAACATCATTAGAAAATGTTTCCACCTTATTATTTTCTGCTCACTATTCTCTTTACCATTATTGTTCAGCGTCGTGATCTGACAGAGGGGGCTGATATTATTATGGTTAAACCCGGGATGCCATACCTCGACGTTGTCAAAGATGCTAAACTACAGAGTCCCGATGTTCCAATTGCCGTATATCAAGTGTCGGGAGAGTATGCAATGATATGGCGAGCGGCTGAAGCCGGAGTGTTTGAGCTCAAGACTGCTGTCATGGAGAGTATGGAGGGATTTCTTAGGGCAGGTGAGTGTCAAAGAAACGTGTAAGAGAATATAGCATGTACAGACTATACTAATTTTTTGCTTTTTGTGTCCAGGTGCTACCTTGATCTTATCATACTATACTCCTTTACTTCTCGAGTGGCTCGAGAACTAAACAAAAACGCGTACTAATATTTATTAAGAGAAACTGGATTATTATGGAGCTAAGTCGCAGTAAATCAAAATTGATAAAGTTAGCCTTGGCTCTGTTAAAACAAATAGAAGAAATAAATAAGCACCAAATAACCATTAAGATGTGCATACAAATAATTATAACCGCTGATGGTTATGGCTTCAATTATCAATCATTACCTGACCGATTTATTATGACAATGGCAATAATTACAAATGTATGCTATATGGTGTTGGTAAGGTAATATCTTGATAATGAGTGTGCTCGTTCTACTATGTTAATCACCTGTTTACATCAATCACTTTATTTCGCAACTCCATTTTGCGTTTCAACACACTTGTAATTCTAAGGAAGACAATAAGGAAATGTTCCAGAAGATGTGAATCGAGAGTGTAGTAATAGATTATTTCGGACAGATCGAGAGGATGAGAAATATTTAATTGTGTATTTACAAAGAAACGAATAAATAAGATAAACCCGTTTATAAGTGAAGTCTGTTCTCTATCTCTACAATAACCAAAATAGACTTGGCCCACGTCTGATGATAACTGCTTAATCTAACATCGCACCGTTAGAGTCAATGATCGTACAATCACCCTTCTCTCCTACTATCTCAATCAGTTTTCCATTTACTTTGTCCACTCAACACTTGCGTGCGCACCCGTATACATAACCCCATTGTCACACGCTTACTCTAACTCTATTTGTCACGACTCGTCAATGCTCTTCATAATCTTTCTTTTTACAACTTGGAACACTTCATATTCTTCGGCAGAGAATTTTGTCATTGACGTAATAGCTTCCGAATAATCATCCTGTTGACAAGAGCAGCTTTCATCGTCGTTAAAAGCGTTACTCATCCAGAAGTCCTTGTCTCCAAAGCATGCCCCATGAGTTCTTTCGTTCAACCGGATAGCATAATTAGATCGATGAGGCCTGGACATGCGCGCTCCGGCAACTACGCCAAATGAGGGAAATGAGAATATAAAACTGTCAGAAGTAGCAATGTGACCACTACCGACAACCCATTGTATGGGATTATATCCTCCGATAATCTGCCCCGAATTTCGTGCTTTTACTGCTACTATTGTTGGACCTTTCTCATCGCACAGATCGTGAAATGTCTCTGCATCAAATCCATCCCTACTTCCTCTTAATAACACACGCAGCGTATAAGGACACTCGTACTCTTTATACGGTTCGTCTGTACGATCTATCCATGCGGCTATACGTGACACTTGTTCGCTTGTAATAACTTCTGATTCGAATGGAATTCGACGCGGTAGGCTTACAGCTGACGAAAACGCCGCTTGCGGATTAAAGTGGCTTTGTAAAATGTCGTTTAACAGAGATTCGGGCAGTATCTGTCTGAATGGCCACACTTTATCATAGAAATCGGCCGATAACATGTAATGCCATCGTATATAACTAAAAAACGGTTGTAGTTTATCGGCTAATGCGGCAAAATCTTCAGCCGTCCATTCATGGACGTTTTCGCTTTCCTTCCCAATACGTCTGCACCCCCATTTCAACACATATCCCCACACATCGATCTCGTCGATCTGCATTTCGTCCATTTGGAGGAAAGAGATCAGGAGCTCCTCGTCAAGAGACAAAAAGTCATCCGATTCGAATAGGCATCGTGGATCATGACATACTGTTTTCTTGCAACATTCTTGTAATTTACCGCAGAATTCGGCTTGTTTTGTTTTAGACCATAAAGCGAAATAGTTCTGCCGTAGCCATTCGGCCTTGTTTTGGAGGAGATAGGATTCGATGCAATCTATCATTTCGGTGAGTAAAAGTTCATCTGCTGCCACTAATACATCCAAGAGATACATTACATCCTTGTCTTCTACTTCGATCTTTGCCGTATATAAATACCTGTATTGAAGTAGAGGGTATAAATAAGCCATAATCGACAAAATTTTGACGTCATGGAGATATCGATCAGTATACTAGATACCGATGATGCAATCGACGGGCTTCTTAACAGTCTGCATATAGCACATTCTGACCGTCTTCTGTCAAGTTCCACTCCCTTATCAACAAGCTCATCAATTTTTGTTAGCTAGTCTTGTCTACTCCACTCCCGCCAACACACTCACTTCAATATCATTTCAAAAGCATCCGGTGATATATTAGGCTTACGAAAGCAATAAAACTGTCCATCTTTCTTTGCCCAATCGTTCGCAAATGCGGCACGAAAATATTCCGATCTTGCCTTCAAAACAATCGAATGCGCATGGAACACTCGTACAGCCGATTCTTGGCCCACGAATATCGTGGTGTTGTATTCTTCCATTTGCTCCAGAATCTGGCAAAAGTCGTCCGAGAGATGCGTAAGAAGTTGTAATGATGGCATGATAAATGAGTTCTGGAAAAATTAACAAGGTTTCAGCGCGGGTCGTCTAACTGTAGAGGGGATATATAATTCTAGTCTTCTTCAGCGGGGAATGGGGTGTAATAATGTATAGGATTAATCTCTTGTTCCTTTACTGTACTATCGTCTAAAGCAATTAATATCCCCAACCGTCGTCGCTTATACAGAATTTTAATAATTCAATTTGTTTGCAATTCTCAAAAATGTTTTTGTGATAATCAAGGTGACTAGTTATTGGTCCTTGTTATTCAAGCATGTGGTAAGGTCGAAGTGAGTTGTATTTGTCGTTATAATATCAGATATTAATTATCTGCTTGGAACGTCATGTTTCCGATCTTTTTATTGTTGCAACTGCCCGTCTGGCCTGAATATAAGGTGTCATAAAACAGGCGAAGTAGAATGTGATTGAGTGTGTAACCTAGCAAAATTGGAAGGAGAGAATGAGATGATTTTTTAATGGCGAGTACCATTGTTGCAGTGTTTAAGCGCAGTCATAAACGCCACATTTAACCGAATCCGAAAATGTAAAATTTTTGAAAGAACTAAGGATAATATCGGGTCCGACTATGAAGACTACAAACAATATGTGGTTCCGAAAAAAGTGCTTGTTGTTTTTGAGTCTCCCAACATCACAAGCGGAGAGGAGTCGCTGTTGTAAACGTGTGGCGATGGTGGGTGGCTCTCCTCACCGACACACTCTGTAATTCAATAACCTTGCATATTAACCAGTGCACTGAGTGGTGAGTAAAATATGCCTCGCGCAGCGTTGCATTCTTACTCATTACTCTGTCTTGTGCGTAGAATTGATTATAGATCTCTTTGACAGCAGGTTATCCATACTACGAGGTTTATCAGAATGATTAAATAGGTAGGCATCGATGCAAGCATAGTTATCACAATTTATCAGAAAATAGAACTTTATATTCGTGGAAATAATTACTATACGTCATTAAGACATCCGCTTCAATCCGGCGGATAGCTTGCTTCGTATCGATACGTTCACTGAACATAGCCTCTTTAATAGAGGGCTTCTTTAAATATTAATTCCATAAATATTCTCTACCATGTTCATACGATCGTAATGCCAATGTCTCATTATATGAATATAGCTTTAACAGCTTATTTCAATAAATCATGTTCAAAATACAAAGGATTATAACATCTGATTTAGATATTCGATTAAAAGTCTATACGATAATCTATTGGTGAGATCCACAATCCGCAGCGGTCGCACAAGTAAAGAGTCGAACCACTTGTGTGCTATAGAGCCAGACACTACGGAATGAAATCCTAACCATTGTCGAATTTAGCCAGTTTCGAAGCGCAAGGTAAATTTAATTATGACATGTTAATTTATTTGATTATTATTAATACAATCAATAATACATTATTATAATACATCACGTTTATATTGATACTTGTAAATTAATAAAAATTTTGTATATAATCTTTGTAATTATTATTGTTTTACTATTGTACTAATTAAATAATGTAATGGGCAGATAAGACTATTGCTTCCAATCGGCATGCCAAGCAGCAAACTCACCTTTCATCTCTAACTAGCTTCAGGGACAGATCCTTCACAAGCAGCTAAGTAGCCACCGAATCACGTCCCTCAAACTCGCTCCAATCTCCGCCAAGTGTCCACCATTGGATCAGATCCCCCAGCAAGCCATCAAGTTAGTTTATATAACGTGAAGCGGTACTTACCTTATACTTACCCAAAACCTTCTCCCCGTCATCTAAAGCTGTGTAAAAAAAAAGAGAGTGTTCCAGGCATCCCCCGTGACCCACTCATCAGACCCAGCCGGGATCACTTCACCGTCGGCGGAGAGTGGTGAGTAGAGGGGCGTCCCCGGTGACTGCCCACCGCCCGATCCAGATCCGCGCCCGTCCACCAGCAGAGACAAAAGAGAGTAGCCACCTAGTGAACCGATTAAAGAGCAATAGTCAGTTAGTACAATTTATCTGCCTATTTCTTTTTTTTACCTTCGAACTTTTCAGCTTATATGTTGTAGCAGAAAGGATTGTTTGTTGTGTTTACGCTTTGGAGGATGAAATGTTGTAAAGCAATGGATGCGTTATATATGAGTAGACATTTGTTTGAGTTCTTTTGTGGTCGATAAACCGTGTTGTTGTTAGAAGACTTTGTTCGTAGGTTGTAGAGAACTGTCATATGTGCGTAATATGGAGTGGCGTAAAGGATTGTTTGTTGTATTTACGCTTGGAGAAGGAGATGTTGTGATGGTGTATATGTATGAGTAGACGTGTGTTTGAACTCTTTCATCAGTTAGTAGTCGATAAACCGCGTTGGACTTGTTCATGAGTTGTAGCGAACTGTCATACGTCGTAATACGGAGAGGCGGCAAAGGATTGCTCGTTGTATTTACGCTTTGGAGGAAGAGAGGTTGTTGTGAAGCGATACACGTACAATTGTCTGAGTATATAGCCAGTGGTCGATAAACCGTGTCGTTGTCGAGTGTTAAGAGTTCGCTGTTTGATAATTTATTCGTGTCATATGTAGTAATATAGAGTGGCGACAAAAGGCTGTTCGTTGTATATTTAAGATAATGTTGTATTTGCGCTTTGAAGGAAGAGAGGTTGTTGTGAGCGATGCATGCACAGTGGAGGGAAGTGTCTGGGTATATATATATATATGTATGATAGACACGCGTTCGCGTGTTAGATGACGACATCATAACATAATATCGCGTCTGTCATGAATGTTTCCGTAAATAAGAACAATAGAATCATTCCGGGGTATACGCAGTAAAAAAATTTTTCACTGGTTAGCAAGTCATAAAGTTTATAATTGTCAGGAATGTTGTAGAAACATTTGGAAGGATTGTAAGGTGCTTTATGCTGCATGCTGTAGAAACATTTGGAAGGATTATGAGAGGGTGCTTTTTTGCACGTAACCTTAATAAGTATAAATGTGATGTCAACCAATAGTTAAGCATAAACGAACATCGATATGTAACACAGCCTGACATAATATCGCGACTGTCATGGCTGTTTCTGTAAAAATTTATAATTGTCACGGGTGGTCGACCGGTGGGGTAATTTACTACCCCATGCATATTGAGCAAGAACCACGGCTGACGTACGTGAAGTGAAATTTAATTTGGAAGAATATGATACTACGGAATATAAAGTCTGGACTGGACAGTCGACCAAACTGTATAAAGCTACAAAAGACAAAATAGGACATTGAAATGATAAAAACTCGACTAATCATCTCTCGAGGCAGAGATGATACCCTGCAATAGCAATGGTACACGCGTTCGCCTTACTGCCAATTTTGGTATCGACCTCTATCGATTGAAATCCCAACGAACAGTAATGTGTTGAGATAATCTTTCTGCAATAAATATGGCTTGTATGCTTCAGCGTAACAAAGGCCACGGTAGCGGGAAACGGATTTCTTCGACAAACTATGAGATACGCGTGTATTAATATGAAGATAAGTGCAGAACTGGAATCAACATGTTTTTAGATAGAAAAGGTAGACAGGCTCTAGTTGGATTACCCATATACACATGTAAACTCTAAAAGCGCGTAGCTTTACAAATAAATACCTGGGTATGTTTTGATAAAAAAGGTCATAAATAGCTGTCCCAAAAAAGATAAATCACAAATGACAGTTCTTCATCTTTGAGAGCCCTTGCCATTGAGTTATCCAAAAATGGAGAATCTGTATCATATACACTACTCTCGAAAAAGTATTTATAATTTCAACACAACATAATATTTAATGCTCTGTAGGCCATCCTTGATTCCTAATGAATGCTTCAATTATATGTGGCATACTTTCTATAAGTTTAGTATAAGTTTTAGGTTGAATTTTTATCCATTCTTGTAGTACTTTTCAAATTCATAAAGATTTGATGTTGGGCAATTGCATATGTAACAGTGCTTTTAGAATGCGAGATATAACTTCATGGGATTTGTAAACCAATAATTTGTCCATGTTCAAACTCAATTAATTCGCGATTTTTTTCCCATGTCGAATGATCTATTACTATGCATCATAGCACAATATAAACATAATTCCTCATTGTCAAAAAATTTTTTGCCTTGTTAGTATGTTCATTTTAAAAAATGCTTAACCAAATACTTTTCCGAGGGTAGTGTATGACCGTGGACAGAGCTTGGCTATAAAGCCAGGAATCACCTAATGACAATTGGGGAACGGACTTTTGTTTTCTAACTTCTTTTTCATAGAAAGGAATTATCGCTTTTATTCAATGCATTATGCTGATGGTTTATACAAATTCGTCCAACCCAGGTCAATTGTGCAAATTATCAGATATTATAAAACCAGCATTTGCACATTTTTTATTGTAAATATTAAGAAACAGCCTTCCATCTATTTAGTATCTAAAACAATGTATAGGGTCCTAAGCTCATTAAGCCAATTTCTAAAAATCAATAGAAAGTTTTTGCCTGGGGTGGATTTTATGCTAATATTGTTCTGCTTTACTTGGAAAAACCGGAACGCAATCTGGTAGAAAAAATTCATGAGTGTTGCAGGAAAAGTCTATTATAGTAGTCACCTCCGCGGGTAATGTCCCGAGATCATGGATGCAGAATTTTATGCCGGAATATTTATATTACATCAACATTATCCAGGAATTAGAAGAATGCGAATGTAGATAAGCATCATCAACAAACATCCGTGAGTGAAAGCAGCGTTTGACGGAAGAACCGATGATAACCAGAACTATGTGACATAGTAATAGGACCTCGTTTTTGCTTATATCTTTTTTCCTTTATACCACTTTTAACTTTTTCGCCTTCTTGAAGCTCGATGTTATCTATCTCGTACCGTCAATGAATCATCGTTGTCAGATGATAATTGACAATAATGGTGAAAGCATTATTATTAATGTACCATACATATATATGATATATCAATAAAATCCTTGGACAGGCTATTATTCATTAAATTTGGAGGTCAATTTTTTTTGTTACACAACGTACTGTATATAATCTTGGATATTTGCAATGTAATGGTTTTTGGATTGAAATGGATCAACCACACCAAAGATCTAAAGGATTTTAGACATTCACAATCCGAAGGACAATATAAGAAGCCGAGCCTTTTGACGACTATACCATTTACGGTAAGTCGACGTATTGAAGATCTTCACTAGCGAAGTTATTGTCAGTCTTATGCATCACTGGAACAGTTATAAGCGAAAAGCAGGTGTACAAGGAGTATTCGGGTGTTTATTTGCAAATAGTACAGACTCTGAGAAGTCTAGTATGTGTGAAGTATATTATAAGACAAGGGGCGATTGGACAATGAGTATCAATGCAGTAATTGTAATATAAAATGATTCTAGTCTTATTGGGAGGTTACGTCTATAAAAACAGTTAGGGATGGGGGTGCTATATTATCAAATCATCCATACATGACCATATGTGTTTATTACATTAAGACATATATTTACTCTCACACTCTCACTCTTCTCATTAGTGTTTCTCCTTCCTCGGGAGCAAAACTCCAAGTTTCACAATTCGTTAATATCACCTTTAGCCCTCTTCCCGTCACTCTTCTTCATCTTCTTTTCATATTTCATTACCTTTTTACACAATTTATATTTTACAAACTCTGGATCTCTATTTGTATCTCCGCGACAGCAATAGTCGTAGAATTCTGCATCGTTCGGAGAGACAAGTTGTGATTGGAGCTTTTTGGTTGCTATTTTAGCTTTACGTGTGTTGTGACGGTTTTTCATCTTTCGCGATGAAGATTTGGTTGGAATTTCAGTATCGAGGGGAGCGATGGTTGAGGAGGATGAGGGAGGCGAAGCTGGAGGTGAAGGATGTGTTTGGGATGGAGGACGGATATTCTTATCGATGTGATTGGACGATTTATTGTCTCTTTCTTTACATTTATTTCTCATATTGGACGAACGAGAATCGTTCGTTTTCATTGAGTCCATGTCATCCGAACTCGGTGGTGAGGATGGTATTATATTATTTTTAAGCCTCATTCCTTTTTGCTTAATTCCATAACCCCTCTCGCACACACTCGCCTCCTTTAGGTTCCCTTCCGCTCTGGTTTTGTTTCCCCACTTGGCAGCGGCGGCGTAGGTAGGCACAGTATGAGCCTCGATTAACTGATACTCTTCACTATCGCTCAAATCACTACTGTTATCGATATCCAAGAGAGCATTGCTGCGCGGTGTAGGAACCGAGTGGACGGTGATACGTTGAGCGAGATGGATATCTTCAAAATCCAAGTCAGTGATTTCTTCCCAGTTGTCAGCGGTATTGGAGAGGGATGACATGTTTACAAAAATGAAAAGAGAACTGAGAGTTGGATGAGTGTAAATGTGTTGGGGGGAGATATTAGGATTAGTATATTCTGAATGGTCTAGTAACGATATTTGTTGGAAGTGGGTTGTTATATGATGATGATTGGACTCTTTGGGTCTGTCCTTCGTACCTTTATATTACTTCAAGTCACGCGCCTAGCAAGCCCCTATTGTGATCATTGTCTGATGATAGGCTGTCACTATGTTTATCGAGCGAACTGCATGTAATCCGGCAATCCCGGATATGTTATTATTATATTGTTACCTTTCAGTTATTTTTGTACGCGTCTTTGATGATGCAAGTTCCATATTTGGCCAGTGAACTGAATGCGTGTGAACAAGCGTATGTAAGGTTCGGGTGTGTAACTGATAAGAATGAACAAAAGATAAATAGTACACAGTTTAGCAGATGGATTCAGAGGGAAAGATGAAGGAGAGGTTCATCAAAAATTAAAGATAATAAAGATTCTGCACTCTACATTTTGGGGGGTGTGAGTAAAGAGGAAGATTTAGGAAGGGCGGATGAGTCAATTTTGATAGCCCAGCTGATATAATACTGTACTAGATTAGGAAATTTGGATAATAGAACAAGAGTATGACGTACGAATATATAAAATACCGATCATAAAGAAGAGAAGCCATCTCATTCGTGAATGTTATGTCCCTAATAGATATATGCTTCTTTGCTTTTCAAAGATATGGCAGGACGGTTCACCATGCCCAATCACAGCATATGTCCTTTGTCTATAATGATAAGGAGTGTATATCTGATATATTGAATGTAATAATAACGCACGGATGCAATGTCAATCGTTGTATTTAATAAACAAATGTAAGACAGTTATGACTCATCCCGAGGCTATTGTGCAGATCGCACCACTATCTTAGTATATATTTACTATATTTGTGTATTTATGTTATGTCTGCACAGGGTCATCTGATCAAGTTGTCAGAGTACGTATCTGTATTAGGTGGACAGAGGGCACTGTGCCAATAAATGCAGTGTCAATTGAGATAGGGAGATAGCAAGGCTTGGAAAGATTTTCGTGATAGTGAAAACAAGGAAATATGAGTGAGCTATTACATCATGATGTACATTACCAAGTTTTATACTTCATATTGTTCTGGTTATGACATAAATTTGATCATTTAAACACCCATAGTTGGAATGTGCAGAGCCATTGCCCATCCTGAGCCAAGTATAGTATTAGTAAAACCTTATTTCGTATCGCTTTTAAATAGCCAATAAACTTGTGACATGTGGAATAGACGATGGAAATGAACGAATAGTCGAAACAGGAGAACATGTGAGATCGATATAAACCGAGCAGCAAAATAGTATGATATGCAAGATATGACATCATTAAATAGTCAGGATTACGCTATAATAATAAATGAAGCATTAATATTAATCTTTATAATTAATATATCGCTAAAATTGGGGCAATGATACCTTCTCCTTTTATACGTCATCAAGGGATCGGCAACAACGAAATCATTGTCAACTGGGTAATCCAAGCATACAATAATAAGGGTTTATATTATTATTTGGTAGATCTTTACTTGATGCAATCTTGCTTATGCGCTATCTGAGCGCGAAACTCGGGTACAAAATTTCTTGCAAAAGGTATTTTCGAATGTTAAGGCTCCGATTAATTTGTATTTTACAATGCTGAGATGCAAATCACAGTATAAGCTTAGAAAGTGGTTACCATCAAATAAAAAAGCTCCCGTGGTTGTATTGCATGTCATGTGAAGAATATACTTGGATCTAAAGCCATTGATAGAGTATATTTTCTTTGGTCGGTGAATGGTGTTCTTAAGAGATTAAGCATTCTTATCTTGGAGACACTCATGAAGTTTAAATGCAATACATAGAATTTGGATCCTTTGATCGTAGATCAGATCGGATACTAATACTGCGCGCACGTTATCCCTTGTTATCCCTTCCATTCTCATTTAACAAAAGCTCAATAATATCCCAAACGATTCATTTGGAAAAGCAAGCATTTCTTGCAAGCGGCGTTTGATTGTTGGTTCCGTGCAGTTATTTCCATTCCTCCGCAGTAGTTACTTGATGCGCAATGTGTAGAATCCTTTATTTAGACATGAGTGTTAATAAGAGGATAACATTATAGAATTTTGATGGTTTGTGAAATCTCTACTTCTTACGTGACTTCAAATAGAAGAGTAGCACAAGATTTTCATTACCGAGTGAACGATATACTGTAGTATTGATCACATGAGATATAACTCAATTGTCGGTGAAATAAATTTGTAATACTTTTGTACTGATCTCTGTTAATGAACTCCGAATAAGAATGTAAAAAAAAAAAAAAGCCATTTTGAATGCGAAGTGTTTATAGGCCGAGAGAACATGTAAGTATTGTGGTGATATCCATCTAATAACAATTTTTGAAAACAAAGACCATGTAATGCAAGACAATTTTTTTAGAAATAAAAATATTGGCCGCAAAAACCCCTTGAAAAATTTATTGCGCCAGAAAACCCATTAAAAAAATTAGTCTCACAGAAAGACAGCGCGCCATTGTTCCCGCAATAGGAATTATTGCTAGCTTGTAGAGTTGATTTATTTTCTATTGCCAAGCCAAGGCACAAGTATGTCTAGAATGTAACACATTTTTATTGCACTTAACGAGAGATTTACTGCAAAGGAGGGCATTTTGCGCCTTGTACTTTGGTTCAAAAGGAAGCTTGTTCTTGTAAATGTTGGTCTCGGCATTAACAGACGGCCAAGATATTCATTATTTCTGGTTTGGCTTTCTGTGAACCAGGGCGCTTTACGGCATTTTTCTTCTTCTTGTATTGAACAAGCTCACGAGCATTCAGTTAACAGATTACGCAATCCAGTTGTGAGTGTTGGTCAAGAAGTTTCGATTAAAATTCACTGCGGGACAATGACGATCCGATTTGTCTTGGGCAACATCATGTTTTAAAATCGAATTTCACATATTTCTTGAATGTCAGCGCCTAAGAATTTTTAAGCCAATAATCAGCCGGCGTAAAATTACTCTTAGATAATTAGCGTGTATTAATGACAGTCGCTCGGATGTAAGACTAATTGTGATTTACGAATTTTGTGCCATTATATATCGTCCAATACGGTTATTATTAAAGCAGATTGTCTAACTCAAAGATTTTTTTAGTCCGATTGATATCGATATGTTGGATCATCGCATAAAATGTATTCCGTGTGTATTATCGACAGACATATCTGAATTTGAGACAAATGGGTAGAGCCCAGAGTATCTGATACATCGAAATTAATTAGCGAAGCATTGTAAAAAAGGAAATACGCATAATTGTAGTGACTACTGCGCCCGTGAGTTCGTGTAAAGGCACTCCCGGATGGTTTGCGATCTCACACGACTTTTTGTTCATGCACTTCTGAACTATTAATAAAATAAATACAGAGTCAGATTAAATATCGCTTTAATTAATACCACCTTGGAAATAAATAATTCTGGCGTTTCATCAAACCTCTTAAACCGTTGAGTACAGCAGTTCCTGGTATATGCCTTTCTCTTCCTTATACTTGGCAGTATAAACTGTTCCATAACACCAGGTCCGATCTTTTTAGTCACTATACTGGCATGTGTGTTAATATATCCAATATTGGACGTATTTTATGGTAGAAACTAAGTAATAGTAACATTCCCGAGTAGATGGCTCTGATTTTGTGTGTCCTTTATTAAGCGCAGCTAAGGTGAGCTGCTTGAGTAGATGGCTCCTAAGTGTTCCCAATTATTAGCAAGAAGCATGATCTGATATATTCTTGACGACCAATGCAAGAGGCTCTTTATTATACGGAGTTATTATTACAGCATGCAATGCTATAATATAAATATTTTATTTAAGACTTTTGACTATGTAAGTAGAAATGTAATAAAATACAGACAATATTAAATATTGCTTCTAGATGTCATCCAAGAATTTGACATATACATAGTTATCCAACCGAATAGTAGTAACGTATTATTAATATAGGAATTACAGTAATCTACCATACTCACTTCACTCATTACACTGCATCAAGAGACTTGGAACGAAATTACGGAAATGTTAAAAAAGACTAGGGAAGACAAAGAAGCTTGTCATGATTTTTGTTGTTAAGATTCGATCCGAAACTCCAGTTTTTGTCGTTATTCGGGAGTGGTAGTTATGTTGTTTCCTCGATACAAACTGCAGAGACGATGACCGCCAAATTACCGATAACACTGCTGAAATATGAAAACCTATCTAAATCTGAGGCGAGAAAATAAAAGGCCGGGAATTATCCCGTTGCAAAAAGACTTGCAGCTCTCAGAGCCAATGCGATAGGTGGTAAAAGAATTCACCGATGCCCGTTACAGTGTTGGCAACTACGGCCGTAATGGCTAGGTAATTTGCACGACGTCATGGGTTTTCTGCACACCCCTATAATAATATCTTGAATAATGTCATCGCCATTAGCTTCAAATATTAAAAGTTTGCAAATTGAGGAGACTGCTAACAGATGTCCTGCGATAGATCAACTGATCGAATCCTCCAAAACTCTCGATAATGGAGAACCGGCATGGGAATATTACCACCTAGTGTGGATGCCTTACTCGGAATTTAAAGACATAGAATTAGTTGGAAATTTTTATAACCAAACGATCTATTATGCTAAACGCAAGCGGACATGGGACAATATCTCAAACAATGAAGTGAGGGTAATGCTTTTACTGCTGGGAACCAACGGTGTCTGCACGCAAGAGTCTATTCATAATTTTGCTAGGGTCCACTCACTTCCAACCCATAAATATAGAAATCCATCTAATATCAATCAATTCAGGAGATATTCAACTTGGCTTGACAGTCGCAATTACATGATAAAGGGGTTTACCAAGTGTGAAAATAACTATTATGCCGTGGCCGAGAGACTAGTTCACCATTATTATTCTCAATACGAATTCTGCACCGCATGCGGGATACTTAGATGCAGCCCCGTGTGGTGTATTTGCGGTCATAAAGAAATATCTCACGAATGGACAAGCAATAATAAGAAACTTGACGATTTTATCAGGAAATCACAAATGCAAACAAAATCAGCAAACGAAGCCTACTTGGAATGGATTCCGTTTGAGAGACTTGGAAAAATTGACAGACTTTCAACTACACAATTACATGGTTTGCCTGCACAACGCAATGTGAATCTGATACCGCTTGAGATATTAGATAATACAGATGATTCATATTTTGAAAAGGTAAATGGTTTGGTTTGTCTATGCATGTATTTACCTTGTCTATTTTATTGACTTGTAACAAACGCTTTATAATAGTTGTGTGTCGACCATCCAGATATTCTTGATACCAACGTTTGGATTACTCTTGGATTTACATATGATGCGATAAAGCAAAAGTATTATCTAATTAAAGAACAACGTGGAGGAGGGTTATGTCTGGCATGTACGTGGTATTTAGATTCCAGAATAAACGCATTCTGTCGTTCATGTAAAGCACCAAGCCGTCTTGATTGGACTTCGGGCAATGAGTCATTGGATTCGTTTATAATGAAATCGTGGAGTAATATTATACACCCAACTGATAGCTATATACAATGGATAAAATACTCCCAATTGACAAACGTACAAGAAACTTCAGCATTACATCATGGATGTACACACATGGCAGATTGGTTAGAACCAACAGCATATGAATATAGGTCAATAAAAGTGATGCTCAAGAAGATAGTTGATGGAGAGAGCACAGAATCATTTGATTTCTATCAGGTGAGCCATTCTCAGTATATAGACACAGTATTTTTTGTACTATAAAACTAATGATTATTGCAACGACTGTATTATTTTTCCCAACAGTTAACTAAAGAATATCCAGAAATATTAACCACAGATAATTTTTGGGTAATTGGCATTACTCAAGAGCCATCGACTCGATATTATTATTTGGTGTTCCACTATGATATACATACTCTTCTAGACAGATTTGTGCAGAATGGCGGGTTCAAGTTTGTGCAATATTGTGATTTTGATGAAATCGAAGAGCTTGGATCAGGTGGTTATGGGACGGTCTATATTGCCAAGCAAAAGTCATTTGATCAATATGTTATTCTAAAAAAGTTCAAGAGTTTTGGTCAAATGGCAGAACTGTTTATCTCTGAGGTGAGTACTCTTATTAATTATAAATAAGTAGACAACGTTTTATCTGATAAAAAATTTCCCAAATAGTTCAGGAATCATTCGGAGTGTTCTATATACGGTGGATTTCTTGATATTTACGGAGTGACACAACAACCAGAGACTGAAGAGTATATGATTATAATGCAATATGCCAACGAGGGCAATCTTTTGTCTTACTTGCATAATAATATTAACAAACTAACATGGAAGATGAAGTTACAATATGTGAAAAATATTGCCCTCTGTTTATTGACTATTCATGACCAACATTTAATACATTGTGATCTCCATGGTGGAAACGTAGTATTGAGTAGTGAAAATGGTAACAACCGTACATTCATATGTGATCTTGGTCTCTCCAAGTCGGTGGATTCATCCAAGCCAAATTCAACCATTCAAGGTGTTTTACCTTATATTGCACCGGAAGTCTTTCATACTCGCCAGTTTACTCAGGAATCAGATATCTATTCTTTTGGTATTCTTATGTATCTGGTTGCCAGTGGCGAGCCACCTTTCAGAGATAGAGCGTTTGATGAGTATCTGGCGAGAGACATCTGTAATGGACTACGTCCAATGATGCCCGATTCGGCGCCAATACCTTATAGGAACCTTGCTGAGAGGTGTTGTGATGCTGACCCCAACAAGCGTCCAACTGCCAGAGAACTTCGAAAGCATATTGAGAATCTTATTAAAGATCCGAATAGCAAGTCTGATGACAATGTGTGGAATGCCATTTACTGCAATGAAAGCATAAAGCCCTTATCAAATGTGGAGAAGGGGTTCAAATATTCTAGCAAGTTGCTACCTCGCACTACAGAAGATTTGCCTCAACCAAGAAATAGCTGTCAGTCTATAGGTATGGAAACGGTAAAAAAATTTTTAATTCGTAATGCAATGATATAAAGGTTGACTGTTTCTTTTCGTTTTTAGACAGCAAACAGTTTGATCTTATTCTTCCCGACGATATCTAGATTTACGAATTCAGAATATGTACTGCTTTAGATCACGCCAATACATAGTAGATGAATCAAATTAGCATTAATTAATCTTCATATCCGCTTACCAATCTTTATTATAACTTTACTATCTTGATTTTCACCCCTCCGTTCTTTAACGACTATGTCAGTGAACACATATTATCGCTGTGAAGACTCTGACCCGAATACTATCGGTTGCAATTATATTTCCATACCGTACCGAGGTATGAAATTCGTAGACGTTGATGTACTGTACATTAATAGTATGAATATTAAATCATTTCCTATAACGGCGGCCAATTCCATAATTCAGCATTACTTTCTTAGTATGGCTAATAAATTTGGTCAATACTAAAAATGAGACTGCGCCACCTTTCTCTTCTAACTACTCACTCGCTAGTTGATATCTCGTTATTGCTCATGGAACACGAATCACGAGCTAGCCATTATTTAATATTAACTCCTTTACAGCCCTGATTATAATTAACAAAAATATCTCTATTCAAAGGTCGTGCGGGAGTGTAACACAAACGTAATTACGCAACAAAGCATACGAATTCTATCATATCCTATAAAAATAATTCCTCCGATACTTTCTCCTGTGATCAAAAACCATGGCTGCCTGCGAACACGTATTAAATACAAAACTGACGCCTCCTGATCGTAATACACAAATCCATAAGGAAGAATGTACACAATGCTTTGATTCTCAGGTATCCCTCAGTCAATATTGGCGTCATTTACAGGGAACATGCATTTAGAGTATAACCGGAAAACGCATTATTGAATCGAAACATTGCACGATATGATTATGTGATTTCGTAGGACTTGCCTCAGGGAATAGATGTATGCCTTTCTTGCTTTAATGCTGGATGCCTGGATAATGATCGGCATCATGCAAAGCTTCATTACCAGAAAACGAACCATCCTTTGACATTGAACATACGTCGCACCGTAAAAGAGAAGCGCAAGAGAGTAAGAACATTCGACTGGTTCCAGCATTTAAATAACTTTTCATCTTAATGTTTTACATCAATGTCGTTCATAGGCTAATGATGAGGAAGAGCCGCCGCTAAAGATCAGCAAGCTGGCTATTGTCCCCGAAGCTGAAGAAGATAAATATGAATATTTCACCAAAGTCAAGTGTTATTCTTGCGGAGAAAGCGAGATCGATAAGACTAGCGGTATTGTAAGTAGTTGTATTGTCACAAAAGAAAGTCCTTGGTAATCGACAAAAGCATGCATTGTTGATATTGAATTCCTTACTCCTGCGGTGTTTTCTAGTTACCAATAATCATAGATTCAGTCATGACCTCCCTTTCAGCTTCCAAGAAATCAGAAATTCAAGCGTGGGAGCAGGAGATTGTGACTTGTGATCATACCCGTCAACTTGTACAGGATCCAAAGACTCTTTTAGAATCTCAGTGTGAGTGACTTGTAAGCTGGCATTATTCTTCGCTTGTACTATGCCGATTTCATTTTTTTCTATCAATTTAATTTTATTCTATCGACTAGCATTGGCACATTGCAATGATTGTGATCTAAAGGAAAACCTATGGCTATGCTTGACATGTGGCAACCTTGGATGTGGCAGACAACAGTTTGGTGGGATTACCGGGAATAGTCATGGTGTGGCACATTACGAAAAGACAAAGCATCCTGTTTCCTGTAAGCTGGGAACTATCACGCCAGAAGGCACTGCAGGTAAACAAAAAAAAAACATAACATGTTAAAAGAATCCCCGTGTTTATGTAGGTTTTAGCATTACAGTATTAATATCTGATTTTGCTCTTTTTACTAGACATTTTCTGCTATCAATGTGGGGAATCCAGACTTGATCCTCTCTTGGGACAACATTTATCTAATTTTGGGATTAATGTCGCGTCTCAAGTGAAGATGGAAAAAAGTATAACGGAGCTGGCAAGTATTTTATCCGCGTTAGAAATTATAACTTGGTAGTATTAACCATTAACATACCACCGCTGGTATTTAGGAATTAGAACAGAACCTAAAATTTGACTTCAGCATGGTCACAGAAGATGGTAGACAACTCGACCCTTTATTTGGTCCTGGTCATACTGGTATCAAAAATCTCGGGAACAGGTAAAAATGATTATAGCTTTTGTTCTATTCCGAGATTTTTCTCGCTCTCATTTTTCAGAGTTGAGAAGCAAAAGAATATATATACATATACAAACTTACTAGCTCTTGCTTCATGGAAAAGTTGTTATATGGCTTCTGTATTGCAGTCAATCTTCTCGTTGGATGAATTTAAACAGAGGTAATCAATATTTTATTCTTTCTTCTACTACCCCCACCCCCTCGATTAAAGCTAATGAATCTCAATGATCAAGATACTTTCCGAATGCAACGGAACATTTTGTTACTTGTACGAATAACCCAGCCGAGTGTCTGCAATGTCAGATGGCAAAGATGGCCGATGGATTGTTGAGCGGGAGGTATTCGAATCCTGTCAAGTATATCGGTGATGACGGGAAAGAGCAAACTAAACAGGAAGGGATTAAACCAGTAATGTTCAAGAGTTTGGTTGGGAAGGGACATGAAGAGTTTTCTACCATGAGGCAGCAAGTAAGTGCAACAATTAGAATGGTCGATCACCGCATGGACCATTGTCCTCTACGCGATTTAACTATCGAGTTATTAAATATTCTTCGCTGTAATTCTCTACGTAGGATGCTTTTGAATTCTTTCAACATATGGTTACAAAAATAGAACGAAATGAACATGCGACGACAGGCGGGGATCCAACACGCATCTTCAAATTCAAGAGTCAACAAAGATTGCAGTGTACAGGTTGTAACCATGTTCGGTATTCAGAGCATACTGATTCTACTATCTCGATCCCTGTCCCAGCAAGAAAGATTGAAAATGCAGAAAAAAAAGAAGGCGAAGAAGATCAGTATGAACCTATATCTCTTGCAGAGTGTTTGGATGCGTTTTCTGCTGATAATATGGTTGAGTATAATTGTCATATTTGTCAGAAGACGACTGTAGCTCTATCGTATGTTCTTTGACGTCATTTTAGTACTATTGTAGTGTCAAATGAATAGTTAATTAATGTTCTCTTTTTTTTTTTTTGATAATAACTTTCTAGAAATACACGATTTTTAACGTTCCCAGAAGTACTTGCAGTTCAGATGCGACGATTTGAGTATGTTAACTATGTTCCACGAAAATTAGGTATGTCAATATTTTGTTTTATATAACAGCTCGATTTGTCATTTAACGTATCACTTATCAATCTTTGCGCAGGCGTCCCTGTGATTCCTCCAAGCGGTCCTATTAACTTTGACAAGTACATTGGGCGTGGTTTGCAGGAAGGGGAAAAGCTTCTACCGGAAGAACAAGCATCCGAGCCACAAGTAAATGGAGCAGTGTTGAATGAATTGTTGTTAATGGGATTCCCAGAAATACGCTGCAAGAAGGCATTGATTGCTACCGACAACAGAGATGCCGAAACGGCTTTGAACTGGATATTTGGGCACATGGATGATCCCGGTATGTATAATGATATGAATCGGCCATGGGCAATGAAAGCGTAGAACTTTGTAGCATCAATGGAGGTATATAAAGAAAGCCGATTTTAACGACTATTGTTATCCTTTCAGATATCGATGCTCCTATTCAGACATCAAAAGCTGCTGGTCAAAGTGCATCTGAACCACCAGAAGCGGTTGTTGCTAACATGATGGATATGGGCTTCTCGAGGGCTCGCGCGATTAAGGCACTTAAAGAGACGGTAATGTAGACAAATTCACTACATCGTTAACTTTCATTCGAGATATTAACAATTTGTCACTTGTTTAGAATAATAATGCGGAGAGAGCAGTAGAGTGGCTGTTTAATCACACGGAAGAATCGGACGAATCAATGGAAACGGAAAATGCTACTCAGCAATTTGGAGGTCGTTGTTCAATATTTCTTTTTCAAGTAATAAGTCTTGCTCCGTTTCCTGGCTAAGCTATTGCTCTTATTTTCCAGACTCGACACTACCCGCCAACTATGTTCTTCAATGTGTTATCTCACATAAAGGCACTTCTGTTCATTGTGGTCATTACGTTGCTCACGTACAAGAAGATGGCCAATGGGTGTTCTTCAATGATGAAAAGGTCGTCGCTACTTCTGGTCCAACTCATAGCGAAGCATACTTTTATTTATTGAGGAGGGTGAGATAATAAGGCACACATTGGTTTCTTCTTTCTTGCATGATTTGTATTTCAATTAAAAATAAAAACCTAATTCGCTCGTATGGTGTATGACCGATATATACAAGAGTTCTTTTACTCGAAAAGAAAAATTCATTGGAAGTATCTTTGCCTTTCCCCCACAAGCTTTCCCAAATATATGGAGTATAAATATGAAAAACTATATTCTCCAACGACAATTTGCTATGAGGGAATCCCTTTAATCGACAATGAACAATATCCAATGAGAGATTCAACGTGACGGATGAGCCCTGACATACAATTGCAAATTAATATCCGCCATTGTCACTAACGCTAAGCCCGCGAAGCCAATAAACCCTTAATTTGGTCTCACATACAGTGCATTTTCGTTGGGTTCACTTTCAGGAGTAACCATTGCATCAGCAGCAAGTGTTTTGTATGATGGCTCATCAGTTATCAAAGGTTTTTTTGAATTCCTACGATTATTCTAATATTGACATCAGAAATGATGCATTAGCATAGATTAATTTTTTTGGGACAACAATGACAACGATTCGACTACTTGTGCTGTTACCTGTGGAGGAATATAGTCGGGATTGATTTTATATGCACTCCCATTTCGAATAAGACGACCCTTCTTTACAATTTTTTGTAATGCCTGAGAAGCCGATGCACGAAAGTTCTTGTGAAGCTTGTAATTACTAGAAATTCATCGTTAGTCTTACTCTGCTTTCCAATTACTATGAAGAATAAATTTTTTACAACTTGGGTTTATATTGCACTTACGCATTCATCCAATCAAACAGGTGTTTAGGAGCACTGCCACTTGGATCGTTTATTGCTGTAGCAGCTCTCACGATCATCTCTTCATAAGAGGGCAGTTCGGCATTCTTGTACTTATTCTCCTCCTCGCCGCCATTTGGAGTTGTTAGCGGCATTGTAGGTGATATTGGGGATACGCTTTGCTGTGTTGGAGGACTTTGAGAGTTTGTTTCGCACGTACCTTTTATTCCATTTATATTGTCTAACGTTAATGAAACAGTTGCCGATGGAGTAAAAGCTTGTGGATGATCTTGCGGAGGAGACAACGTTTCAATACGCTCTCTTAAACGACTCGGATAAAAAGGCAGACGAGGGCTTGTGTTTTCGGCAAAAAAGAGTAGTTCGATTAAATCTTCCTTCCGTAAACTGTATAGATACGAATATTTCTGAAAAAAAGCCAATTTAACAAGAAAACGTTATTATTATCTCGTATATAACTCACAGTATAGCCAATGTTTATTAAAGTAGACGTTGTGCTGTCCAACTTTTCCTTACCGTTTGTTTACTAATCCCCTGTCCAGAAACATCCGTTGCCAATTTACGCCGTTTGAGTTGAGAACATTTGTGACAGTACCAGTTGGTTTCCGCAGTGTCTACAATTTGGTCGTCAATCTTTGGATCATGACATTGTTGATGATAAGGAGTATCACACCCATCACAGAGGACTATTCTATTACGCTTGGGGGATTTCCCATCATGACATAAAGAACATACAATGTCATCTGCATCTGCGAGCGGTTGATCACGAGGACGTTTCATTGCTGATAGTATAAGTTGCAAAGAGAGGATATGAGTGGTGTATATTCAATAATTCATCTGATCAATATAATGTACTCACCAGTTGGTGATTTGGATGCAGCCCTCTTTGGTCGACTAGAAGACTTTCTTCTTTGTGATTGCGGGGCTTTCGACTCATTTTTACTCGCTTCTTCCGGATCATGTGGTATATTGATAGATGGTTTGTGCGCGTTACGGCCATATCTTATGGTTTCTGGTAAACTCTCCACTATACAAAACGTTTACTATACATCGTAGTACAAGTAAAATAGAAAGAGTTGCAGCTTGAAAGTTACCTGATTTTGGCTGTTCGTTTTCGCCTTTGACAATCGGATCTGGGGCGTTTACTACGTTATCAGCATTAACTGTTGGTACTACTGATTCGGACATGTCTTCCTCTAATTCGAATTCGCCATCCTCATCGCCCTATGTTTATTGGTAATTTCGTGTCCAAGTGAGCATACAGATTAACGTTTACAATATTACACTACTAGAGCATCATCTTAAATAGCGCAGTTTTTTATTTTGTGATCAATACACAAATTTAAACCACGTCTGTAAAACCATTGTACAAGTTCTTACCCATTCGTCGTTCTGACTGGCATCCATTGCGACTTCCAGAGTTCCCGTATGACTCTCAAATTGAAATTGAGTCTGATCTTGTGTCGAAGCCCTTGCAGTTTCGTCCGAGCCGTCTGTGGATTGTGAATTAGTAGGTGTAGGAAGATCTTCCGGGCCGCTCATCTTTATGTTTTGTCTTTGATCCTTTAGTATCTGATTGTTTCCAAGAAGCTGATTATTGTATATGTCGGGCATTTGATGCGATCGTGAGTTTGAAATGCAAAGGTAAATATGCTAAGATTAGATATGATCTGTGGTGGAAGGGAAATTTGGGACTGTGGATGATCATAAGATCGGGTTTGTAGTACGAACTTACCAACTATGGAAATCAGGTTCTTGATACAATTCTACTTTGGAATACTACGTTTTTTTCGCCAAGTCATTTAAAGTTTTGAGACAACAATGCTAATTAGTAGATCAGAGAAAAGCAAAAATGGCATGCCTGAAGTTCGATTGACAAAATTGGTACTATATTTAAGGAAACCCCAAAGTCACACATTGATATTTATAGTAAAACATTTACCTAATAAGTAGTCACAACCAATGTCAAAATTAGTTAATCGGTAAAGACGTATATAGTGCTACCCTTATTATCACAAAAAAAACTGGTTTAAAGAGCGTGAAAATTTTCTAATTAGTCCTTCTGGATGCGGGCGTCAATTAGTAACACCAAGTCAACGCCTCTGTTGAATGATTTTCATAAGGAAGACGTGTTTGTGTACCGTCCGCTATGCAAAGACTTTGAAAGCATAAAAGCTCCCACTTTGATATTAGCCTTTTGAGTCCTGCACCAAGTCATCTCAGTAGCACGCTTGACCCCCCAACTAGACACTCGGTCAAAGTAACGAATGGGAAGCCCTTACTTGTTACTGAGATTTGTCATCGGATACCGTCAGAAAGAGAACGGCATACCGATGCTTTTAAGACTTTAGAGCAGCAGCAATCTTGCATCTTTCCCTTATGCTTCATTCGGCATGCAGATAGGCCCGAGCAATTCTACCGGGCAATCTCGGGACACTTGGGAGCGGATTGAACGAACGATGCTGAAAGTTGATGAGGAATGACAAAGAGAAGTTGATGGTAACACATAACAGAATAAGCTTTATACACGTAACCAATTATATCAGTCAATATGAAAAAACAATTTTGTTGTTTTGATAGTTGGCAAATAGGTACATTGGCTATTTGTGCTTGTATGCAGGAGGAGCATACGGGCTGAAAGAAAGACCCTTGTTTCTTGAAGCAACTATAGAAGGTGTCTGTTACTTCAAATTGCTGTTATACGATATTTCTATATTAAACCGATGATGAAAGCATACGATTCGATTTCGAATATCGTAAATGGAGAACGTTAAAGAGATACGGAACTATACAATGAGTATAGAACTCTTGTTAATTGATTGTTTCTTCTCTTTTATTGTCTCTATGGATATGGATTTATTGGTCACACAACAATGATCAAATAAAATTTTGCCAAGTCGCATTATTTCAAATGTAACTTAATATTAAGAATTCTAGTCTTTTTATCCTAAGACAACATCTTTATTTTTGACTCCAACTTTTTATATTCAGTGAAAATAACAAAGACTCAATTTTGAGCATGGAATGATTATTGGTCTTACTTAAAAGAAGGTACTAAAAAGCACTGGTATATTTCTCTCATGAAGTTTATCTATTACTATCAATCTTTGATTTTGTCAGTTTTAAATAAAACTGTGTCAGAAATCCACAACGAGTTAGCAAATTCTTATGGAAACAAAACCCCATCTGAATGTACAGTACAATTAGACAGTGGTTAAAACATGTTAGAGAAGGAAAGAAAACAGTGAAGATTTACCTCACACAGGAAGACTGCAAGGAGTGATTTAGGAAATAAAGTTAGATGGACAAAAATCCCATGTATAATGTATGTAGTAAAGGACTAGATTGTATATGCTGCTCCCTGCTCAAATTAGTACAATATAAATAGGAGCAGGTGGGCTAATAATTTGGCTTTTGAATTGTCATGCAGTGGTCATAATATAATTATATGACCACTTAGTCTAGGTTCAGTTAGACTATGCCCACTTTGTCACGTGACCACAGGTTATTCCCACTCATAGTGACGACGTGTTAGTTGGAAAAGTCAGCCACTACATAGTAATAGTGATGATGAGTTTGCATTTGCATCGTCATTCGAGTGATGACAAGATCGTGTAACCATCGCGAGGTGTTAGCTGAAGAAGTAAACAGTTATGAAGTGACGATGTGTTTGCATCGTCATTTGCCTGTATAACCATCGAGGGGGTCAGCTGAGGGTGTTAGTTGGAAAAGTTGGCCGCTACGATGATAAGTTTGCATTTGCATTGTCATGCTGAAGTTGGCTTGCGGACTTGGCCGGTAGAGATAACTGGAAAAAAAAAGTTATTAAGAAGCGGAAGCTTTGAAGCTTCGTCTCTCAAGTGACGACGAGTTTGCATTTACGTCATTGTTCAAGTATGACAAGATCGCGTTTGTGTCTAAGATTTTTCTGTAATACGTAATCAAATAAATAGTTTATGTATCTTGTTCATAAATTTAGAATATACTACCATTCTCTTTTTCTGCTGAGCTTGTTCATACATTCGAAGTTTGTTAGTTTTTTAGCTAACTTAATTTTTGGGTATCTTTTTATAATAGTTCTAGAAACGAGAAATTCTTGTCCTGAAACATTAATTGTGATTATGTCATTATCACAGCTTTGCCGTGCGCAAAGCGTCAATTTTCAGGGAAGTTGTACCCAAATAATAAACTAAAACTGACCGAGGAAAACCCCAGGAACATAATGGTTTTTTACGCAACATTAATATCAAATTATACCCGCCTTTCCGGAACAAACAATTTAGCAAGTAATTAATTTTATAGTCGTTGTTCCAGATATTATAAATTATTTTTAGTGGCCCCATTTTACATTACTGTGGATTATGTATCCGGGTATCAAAAGTTGGGCGCGTCTATCATAACCAATCCAGCTGTTAAGTGAAACAAATAGTTAAGTTTACTATGCGAGGTTTATTCGCATACATATAAGCTAAAACTTAATTCAATTTTTGTTGTAATTGCTATTATAATAAATATATCTGTTTCCCGTTTTATGTTATGAAAGGGAAAATATCTAATCAAGATAGTATAATAGTATAAAAAAAATAAATATAAAATTCTTAATGTGGATGGGACAGCAAGCTGCACGTTTTTAGCAGTTTTAGCTGGATTTAATCACTTTTTGGACATGAAATTAAAAAATTTTTTGGGACAGCAAGCTTGCATGTTTTAACTGAATTTAACCACTTTTTAAATATCAATGCACGGAGTGCACTCTCTCCGAGAGATAAAAATTACGTGACAGGACGGCAAGCCACACGTCCAGGCCCGAAGGTGAGTCTAAAGACTCATAATTACTTTTGAATTAAAAAATATTTGTATAGTTATAATCTGATAACCGTCCTTAAACGCAACGTCAAAAATGCTACAATTATACATATTCAATAGATACTGAATAAACTTTATTTAACTCTTTTTTGTATGGTGTAGTAGTAGGAACACCAAGACGGGCTTCATATTCCCGCTTATATTTTATGAAATCAACTTCGTTCATACTCTCGCGCTCTTTTTTCCAATAATTTATTTTATAGCCGATAAAACTTCACGGTCTGTCGGCAAATTATCGCCACGTAAATCCGTTAGAACATGTACTACATTGCAATTCAACCTTCGAACGCGATGCAACATCTGATATGCTTCATTGTACGTCAAACCAGCCAATGTACGGAAATGAGCAAAAGTCATATCGAAGTTTTCTATTGTTATACTTACACCGCAAGTCATGACTGGAGTTGCTATTAAATAATCGAGATTTGCCACTGCATCGTTGACATCAGCAAATATTTCCTTTTTCTCTGTTTCTGATAGGCGTTTGGAAAAACATTTACCTCGATACCCATGGGATGCCAATTCTTTATGAAGAGCTTCTGCCATTTCTGCACTGGCAAACATTGGAATGTAGACTTTTAATCCCTGCCTGAGAGCTCCAACTAATTCAGCGTTCCATTTTTTGTTATTTATATGTATAAGAGCTTTGCGAGTATCTCATATGCTGGTTCCATATAACCGTTGAATTATCAGCATCAATTTTCGAAAGATTCTGTAAATGCACAGCCGAATCCGAATCTAACGTAGCATCTAAAGCCAATATTAGTGAAGCGGATTGAAGTAATGATTTATACACGTCATGACTTAACTTAGGTTTTTTCATAGTGGGTCCGCTAAAATTCTGGGTAATTGTTTCAAATTCATTAGTATAATCACATCATAGCCGGTCGTTCCGAGTTTATGAATGCTTTCGGGACTGATGATAAGTTGTGGAGTATCCTTGGGGTTGAGTTTCCGTATATCTAGATCGAGATAAGACTTAAATCCGTCGAAAAGGGTTTTTTGACCATGTGCAAGAGAGCGTCGGCCTGAAATAATAAGAGTGGAGACAGAAGATCTATCAGGACGATAAAGCTCTCTTATTTCTTCGGCGGTTCTATTTGATTTGCAATGTCCTTTAACAAGCATCAAGTGCCGTCTCCTACTAAGAAGTTTAGCTTGCAAATTATAACTACGCATTACTTCAGCATTGTATATTTCTACGTTTTTTCCGACTGCAGTAAAGTTGTTTTGGCGGTACCGCTGAGAAAGAGATTGTGATGAATGCTGAAGGCGAGACCTTAATTTCTCCAAGCGTGGGATGACCTTTTTCTTATTATGATCTGCTCTGGTTATTTCGATACCAGACTCACCCCTCTTTTGCCTATAGCAGTAAAGGAAATAACATGATCCATGCCATCGACCATACATACCATCTCTTGTATGTTCTTTTTCGCAAATTTGGCAAATCGTAGACAGGGTTCTATCAAAAGTGTCAAACCCATTACTGGAATTTCGGTAACACAGAAAAGGGAATTGATTTTCTACTGCTTTTATTGCATTATTTCGATCTTCACATGAAGCGGTCATTGTTTCTGGCTTTTTGTCTTCTTCCCATTCGTATGACCAAAGTTCGATCCAATATATCTGAACGGCAAAAAACAAATTTGTTACAGAATCGATGTCAGTACCTACAACTGACAATGACTCCAATGCAGTTGACTTTCTCAACCTGTATAATCAAGTAATTAACGCCGTTCATGCGGTTATTATAGCCTATTATAATTTTGGACGGAATCTTAAAAAACGTCTCGAGTATCATACAGAAGTATTTTATTTTTTCGATGCAATTACACATTCATGTTAAAACCAATATATTTGATGTTCGATTATTATAAACATAATTCCATAAATCGAAATTCAAAGATCGGAATATGTCCATATCAACGACGCTTTTTTTGATTCTTTTTCTTGCCTTCTTTCTTATCTTTTACAAGGCGAGAATTGCATTCTTCCGATTCTAGAAAAAAGAAATTAGCTATATTAAGATAAAGAACAAACCAAAATACATGTAATGTACATACCATCAAATTCCCGTCTCCTGATACCATCCATACTGCTTCTTCACAAGACTTCTCTGATACTGCTTTGAAAATTTTCCCGAAAAACAGTAATAGGCCATTCATAGAGTCCCATCTAAACACACAATCTAGAAAAAGTAGACCACAGTCACATGTCCCAATAATCCCAATAACAATTATATGGTTAAACCCGCATAGTGCAATTTCCTTTACATAATGTGCGATATGATCCTTTCGAAGATCACAGTTTTGTATCTGTATATCAAGAGAGGTTGCAATACGGCAACGGTCTGACTCATTCGCGATCATTTCGACTACCACGGACGGATTATTGCCAGATGAGTCGAATCTATTACGGTTTGACACTGAAGGCATGGAGCAATTGTATATCCATTTAGGTCTACTGTCCGGGAGTACAAAGTAGCACGGCGATTTCGGGTAGTTTTCTTCCCATGAAGAGCCCACCATGGTACCGACTCTGAGCAATGGCCCCAGGAATTCTTGCAACCCTTCATTTTTACCTCGGTTTGGACATTGGAAAACATCGATTTCATCGTTTTTACTCTCCTCCCTGCTGCCCCCTTGTTCATTTCGAATATCTGTCCTTTCTCTACTTTCGTCTCTCCCTGCATGCCACGAATTGATGCTCCGAAAAGGTAATTCTTTATGTTGTTCTTCCGAGTGGAAAATGTTAGATTTATCGTGGCTGGTCGAGCTGACGAATGTCCGTTATCTTGACCGCAAGTATCGATAACATGTTCACCAGATGTGCATCTTGGTTTTCGAATTTCTTTCTTGGAGGCTTTACTTTGTAATTGTTTTCACTTTTGGAGGCCGACTTATACTGTACGTCCAAAGCAGGGCTACTGCATCCCACACAGTGGTTATAAGAATCGGACGACTGGATGGTGGATTCGCCCATTTGCCCTCGGGGCCATATGGCATTACAATTTTCTTCACCCTGCAATAATTTTCTTCACCCTGCAATAAGATAATGTATTGCTTTGTTAAATCACGAATGATACCCTCCAGCTTTCAGAATTCAAGGATTCTTGCTTATACCGGTTTTGCCTTATACCGGTCCAATTTCGCTGAACCAAAAAATTCCATATTAATCTCACCCCTTATAACGGCGGATCTGTTTATACCAGCTCCGGCACAAGTTACACAAAACCATGTAGACTAGTTTACTTTAAATTATATAAAAAGATTTACTTTATACCGGCGAAGTCAAGTGATTATTTGTATATTACTAATAAATGCAGCCATAATTCAGCCAACCTTTTAATTATTACCATGCCACGCAAGAGAATCTCTGCCAAAAATTTTAATACAGACATAGAAACACCTAAACGCATTAGAACTTCATTAACAGGGTTACAGAAAAAAGAAAATTGTCAAATTAAACTAAAAAATCCTTCTTTTGCTAATGCAGAAATCGCTGAATTGTTTGGTTGCGGTACTTATACTAGCACCGTTGGTGATGTTATCCGTGAAAGCGGAAAGTGGCTTGCAATAAATGAGGACGATCATGCTGCTCAACTTCGCAAGAATCGACAACCAAAATGGCCTGCACTTGAACAAGCGATGACTATGTGGCTTGAAAAGCTCCTTTTAGCAAATCAGGATATCGATGGCTCTGCGATTCTCAACAAAGCTAACCAACTTGCTCGAAATTTGAATATTGTTGACTTTAAAGGATCTGAAGGGTGGCTATCGGGTTTGAAGGAGCGAGTAGGTATATCTCAAAAAACAAAACATGGAAGTCTCAGTGCACCTTCCCAGGAAGAAATCGAATGCGAACGACCTTATATAATTTCCATCCTCTTTGATGATGGTGATTGAAATTACATGACTTGTTGAAGAATTGGAAACCCGAAGATATATTTAATTGTGATGAAATATTGAATAGAAAGCCATCAATTTTCAGATAAACCCGAAACCTAAAAGCATTTTGTTACGATATTATACAGTATAGCGCAAGAAAAGCGTAATGTCTGTATCACTGATACAATTGTCTAACTAAACAATAAATTATATGGTAATTCTCTAGCAATATAGAATAATTGATGCAAAGCGCATTAGTTCAGGCTATGAATTCTCCGAATAACTTTTGCGCTCCAGACATTGGTTCATAATCGAGAACGATTTGCAGGAAATAGATTCTTGCGATTATAGGCTTTATTCACACGTCTTCTACGCAATTTCGTAAAAATTTTGATGTTAACTTGTCAAGTTTCTCACCAATTTATAAGAAAACTGATCATCGTCATTATTATTATGCAATCTCGAATAATAAAGTCAACGGGATGGGGATTTTTCTTCACTATATTGAAAATTTTCAATATAGTGAAGTTCATATATAACTATGGGGTAAATCTTATCCCTTAGACTGTTTTCCGTACGGAATTTTGATTCACTGACAAAATCGCTTTATCTCGCCTCTATTACTGAATATATACCCCAACACATATAGTTTTTTAGAACCTCATATCCGTAGCTAGCATTGAACAAAATCACGTGACTCTTAATTACATGGGCCGTTCTATAGAGCTAATTCGGCATCATTTGCCAATCATTAACCCTAAATCATACGATTATTCAACCGCTCAGTGTTGTTGTCAATATAAGTCACGAAAGTACTGACCTCTAGTATTGTCAATTGTCTACTATTGGTAATACTAATAGATAATCTGTAAAAACATGCCTAATCTTAATTGTTATCTTAGTGTAAAGCAATTTTAATTTACATATACATTACTTGTCACAGATGCATTCTTTTGTTGTAAAATATAGTTTATTGAAACTGCAAGAATTAGATAAAATTTTTATCTTAATAAACTAATTGATAATAACATAGTAAAAATGTCTTAAAAGTAATGTCCGGAAATAATACCAAATCGAGTGCCCTGTCTTTAAAAATTCATTACTCTTCAACAACTCATCGGTTTGTTGAGATCTTTAGCTCATTAGGTTTGGAATAACATGAAACAAAAATAACGTCTAATAATAGGGGGAGTCTGACATAGTCTCAATAGGGTAAAATTTGTAAAATGTTTTCTAAAGATGTAATATTCTTCGTATATACTAGTTTTGCTACAATTTTAGCTTGTTTGAAAGCGCAAAATAAGGCAAATCTTTTTCATTAATGGTTAAAGTGCGGATAGCATAACAATAACGTCCTTAAAAATGCATAACAAAATTAAAGGGTAAAATCCGTCGAAATTTGGCCTACGGACTAAGGGATAACAGTATAATAATAAATAATTCACGCTATTTCAAGTTATTGAATCTAGTACTGTAGCATGTGTAATTCTTTGATTCGGTTAAGGTTTCAATGTCTTATTCAATCATCGCCGAATCAACTTCCCAAAGAAAAAGAAAAAAACAAAAGGAAACAAAAAACGACAAGAAAGACGTAGCACTAACTAAACGACTGTACTTATTATTTGGTTCAATGCTCAGTAAGTTGTTGAATGTCTTCTCATATTGATTAATCATGCGATACTTAATGCTTGTGAACAAACATATCCAAAACACTCTGTTTTCTCGAAGCAATCCTCTTGAAAACAAATTTCTTTCTTCAATTCGCCTAAACCTCGGACGAAAGAATTATCAACAATAAAATCCTTATCCGGTTGCTGTTCGAGAAAAGATATGATGCCGTCAACAAACGTACCGCCAATCTCCATCCTTTGTCCATGTCAGTGGAAATGTCACGTTGCGATCACAAGATCATAGTATTGGTCAGAAATCAGGAGTGTGAGAAAGATTACTGTCAACCGATAGAAAGCTATACTGGTTAGTGTGACGCATCATGACATCAGGGTTCGTAGTTGTTTCCGTAAAGGAGAACAATATGATTAGTGCAATATTTTTTCTGGTTAACAAATCGATAAGCCATGCGTATAAAGTCCTAGACACGGCCCCAGAGTGTTTGCATCCATCATCAGAAAATAATTACAATGATGTCAACGACTCATCTGAGAGTTGTAGAGTGTTTGACAATTTCCTGTTAACTAGGTGAAGGAATTGGAAAGACGAGGATTGAAAGCGTTATCCGAAAGCTCTTTCGTTGCGCCTAAACTGTATTGGGCTCTCACGGATAGTTGAGGTTGTAGGGGATTCAAATGGTTTGAAGAGAAAAGTTTGAAATACACGGTGAAATTCACTTTAACGAAGATCGCTTATAACAAAGTTTTTTCCAGAACGGATTCATATATTTCATATTAAAGACAGTTCACTTAATCGAAGCAAAGCCGTGGAACGAATGTCTTCGTTAAAGTAAAATTCATTGTGTAGAGGAATGTTTGGTTCAAAGGTTAAGAGAGTGTATTGGGATAGATAGGCTCGAGAAGGTGCTGGAAGGAAAGTGAAGACGTGGAGGGAGAGGGGTTGGAAGAAAGAAGAAATTTGATCGAGACTCTGATTGAATGCGCATGGATTGTTGCTAGAGGACTAAAAGGATATGACCAAATAAATGTTGTAAGAATGCTAACTTTATTTAATCTTCCTTATAAGTGTTACTTTAACCGATGGATTGTCTACCGATTAAGCCCTTGAACACGTTATATATTAATATGCTGGTATTGAATATGACTATGATAGACGTCTTTATTCGTGAAATTTGTTCACAGAACTGAAAGCAAATTATGTTAAACGTTCAAAATATTTCAATAAGTACCAGGTAGAAAAGTATCCGTACGCTTTTGTAAACTCATTAGTATTGCGACTTTATCGATTGATGCATAGATTCACTCTGTTTGTAATATATACCTACGGGAGCCTCGTTTAAGTCCTATATTAAGTGCTTTCTGGTATTAATATCGCGAACAATTTTATAGAGGCTAAACGAATGCTAACACAGTATATTACGAGTTATATAGCCTGTTTTTTTTTTGTTTTGTTTTTAATCGAAATTATTATTTAACTAGAAATTTGTATTTGGGGGGCTGCGCTCCCTTTTATTATTAGATGTGTGGTATAAATAGTAGAAGAGGCAAATTCAGTTTAGATGATGCTAGGTCAGTGGGTTTTTTTGTTCTATTGCTTGAACGTAGCGTTGATTTTCAGCTTGGATAAGTTGATGATTGAGTTGATAGTTGAAGGGTGGCGACACTAATCCTGGATATATTAATTAATATTAAGAATAAAACCCTAAATAAAATCTGTACGATGTTAGTTATACAGAAATCGTGTAACACCAAAGCGTAGTAGGGAATGTTTCGAAAATCTTTTTACTTCAGAACAATGTTAGTTTTAGAGACTGATACGACAATTGACGACCTCATTCAATTAGCCTTACTTAAATGGATTCCTTGCTCGCAAATTACCGTCATCGAGTCAAGTCCAATTAACTCTATTTATTACGCTGTTTTTGATAATGATGAGATGATGATAATGCTTCTACGCCTTGGGAATAGCGATGAATGTACAACAACATTTGTGAGTGAGTTTGCTAGAATATACTCACTTCCAACACACAAATACAATAATAACGACAACTTTAGAAGGTACTCCAAATGGCTTTATTATCGCAACAGCATGATAAAAGGGTTCACCAAATACGATAACAACTATTACATGGTTGCTGATAGACGTTTTTACGATTGTTACTCTCGATATGGATTCTGCTCCGCATGTGGAGTACTCCGGTGTAGTTCTGTGTGGTGCGTTTGTGGTCATAAACAATTATCCAATGGGTGGACTAGCAACAATAAGCAACTCGATGAGTTTATTAAGAAATCTCAATTACAAACAAACTCACCAAATCATGCCTA